AACAAACCTTATGATTAAGCTGTACTTTCAAACGAAACAAGTTAATTATCTGATTTATGTAATGTAGTCAGTTATTCAGTCATATAATCAGTATAGGAGCTAGGCATGAATGTGGATTAACCTAAGCTGCCGTGCACCATTAGTACAACAACAAAATAAGTAGTGAGAGTAGAAAAGACAATAATTTAGATTATTGTAAGGATGAATTAATCTTGGACAATACAGTCTAGAAAGTATGAAGTAACATTGAAGCTCAAGATTCAGGGAAAGATAAGTTAAGTCACTGCGAATGGTTTTAAGCCATGTCATTCAACGTTTCCAACTACTGGTCATGATGGTCAACAAGACTTCAATCCGGCAGTCTATCTACAAGTATATCTAGCGAAACAAACCAGTTTGACAGATAATGATTTCATGTATTGATCCTACATCTTCCTTCGGTCGCCCCCAGTTTTCTTTCACCATATATTCACGCAGGAATCCTAGCCGCCCTAACTTGGAATCCGGAAGGGAAGCAGTAAAGAGGAAGACCAAATAACACACTTCGACAGGAAATAGAAGCATATATGAAAAGGATGAATAACAAATGGAAAGAACTGGAAAGGATTGCCCAGGACAGAGTTGGATGAAGAATGCTGGTGAGCGGCCTATGCTCCTCCACAAGGGGTAACAGGCGTAAGTAATTAAGTAATATATTCACACTCCATGCAGCACTGTGCATCACTATAGGTGGTAGTTGGCTATAATTAACACATCCTAACCACCTTATATATATATATATATATATATATATATATATATATATATATACTCACTTAAAAATGAGCTATTTAAGTAATCAGCTTTAAATTATATGCATTTACTGCAAGAAATCAACCCTCAAACCACCCATCTGCGCAAGTTCAAAGAGGCGACGGAACAATATTTCAGCCTGGAAATTAATGCTTTGATCACCTAATTCACCTCTCCTCTATACATGAATGAACACAAATTTGTCACTTTATGACCAATTTTCTCTTGACAATAGTCTTCATAGAAAATGTTAGTTAATAACCCCTTTATAACATCAGCAAAAACTTTTGCTATCAAAACTCATCTATAAGCAAACCTACCTAACCCACTAAAAAAGGAACAGCAAACAATGACGTACAGAAAACGTCTTATGTTAACATGCAATAACATAACAATACAATGATCTTTAGCGTTGCTTTTGAATAATTAGACCTGTGAATATTTATTTAACTGTATTCTTTCGTACTGAAACTTATGGGTACGCATAATTATTATCATTTTTGTCAGTTGTTTAATTCCCCTACGTGAACAGCAAATTTCCATTTTATGTACTTACTTATTATTGTTGCGTAAATCAAGAACTGAATTATTTGTCTGGATTTTCAACCGACTATAAATCACATAGACACATCATACAGAAACAGGAAGGAAGAGAAGGAAAGTTATTCAACTTGAACTGGTCACTTTTCAAGACTTTCTATTCAGTGATCCATGATATAAACTCCTTAGATGTATAGATAAGATAGTGAAGTAGTGGATAAGTGGTTAAGGCATCCAACTTTCATCCACTAAGTCCAAAGTTCGAACCCCACTGAGCCTACCTCAGTTTGGGCAACCGGTTAGTACCACCAACCGATACTTAAGGTATAATTTATCCCCAAGTGTCTGGTGAATGATTTAATTACTAAAAATAAGACATAAACTGAACAAAAGAACATGAAACCTAATTGTTGTTGGAAATACTTTACAGCAACCATACGGACTATTTTTTATCTATTGTTTACCGACCCTCTATTTTGAGCTTGCTAATCAAACATTTGCGTTTTGTCTAAAAATGATTATTATCATTATCATGAATTCTTTTTACGTTTGTTCAGGGATTTAAATTTTCAGCTAAAATTAATAAAATTATCACCTTTACGTACAAACCACCGTGAGCATCTGACTGAAAAATAGGTCATTGGTAGTCAAAGTAAAATTCAAACTATCGAACAATCGATACCAATTGAAAGACTAAATAAAGGTATTCATCATATACGACTTATCTGATAAATTCACGAACAAGGATCGTTAGGATTTCATTTCTTACACTTTAAAGTATATCACCTTTAATTCTGTAAAATACGCACCATTTGTTGACTGGCTTCATCTATTTACATTATTTTAAACATTTCTGAAGGTGTTCACAGTTGTGCTCTTCAGATACCAGGTAATTTTATACAATTTCCTCAACCGCAAATGTATTTTTAGAGTCATGTGTACAGACGATTTCCCTAGATTCCCTTCCTTATTAATCATTTAGACAATAAATGAGATGGAAAGAACTAGATATACTGTACAAGTTAGACATTTACATCAACCCTCAGGAAGTTGGCAGTCGTCTTGACTTTGCACCATTCATCTGACCTTTATATCCTAACTGAAACATCTGATTTATTTAAAGGTTTGTTTTCTGTCATACGTTACTTTTATGAAGAGTATTTAACATTTGACGGACTTGCAGTATCTTTTTACAGGTTTGCAGCTTTCCTAAATAGTTAAATTAGTCTGCAGGTTCGATAGACACTCTAGACTGCTCGTACGGTTTTCGTGTGTCACTGTTCCAATCGATAATTTGCTGCTCTCTGATTGGCGGTTTTATCACGTCGTACATTAACTGGGCATCTACTCGGCCACAAGATATAACACTCCTTGAAAAATACAAATAAATCCCTAGAAAAAAGAATATCATAGTTCATACAAAAATTTGGCAAAGATAGTCTGTATTGTGACTGTGAAATAAATGTCTTTAACAACGTCGGTTAGTTGCAGATCCTGTCGTATATCTGTCTGAGCACCTAATTAGTTAATACAGTGAGTAACTGAGAACACAAAAGCTGGTCAGTTCACAATTTAAAGCAGAAAAAACTGGTTAGTGGAGCTATAAAAAACAGTAGTGATAAAACCAATAGAAACCAATCTTTCACAGGCAAGATAAACCTAAAACAGTGCACAGACTATTTGTTTGAAGACAAGATAATCATTTGTAAAACTACCATATCTGCTATTTTCAGGGAGATCAGTGAGAAAAATTAAATTCCGTAATATAACAAATAGACAGTTCGACGACAATTCGATTTAACATGATGACTCAAATGTTAAACATCTCTCTTTGAAATGATAAAAGTCTCTTATGTATAAGCACTGCCTGATTTCTCGTTTTTAAAGAAATTTAAAAATAAATTTCAGTCTTACTACAAGATCAAAAAGTCATATCAAAAAAAGGTATTAACAAATGCAAATGTAATAATACGTTTAGTAGTATTACTTTTATAACAAGTCTTGTAAACTTTGAACAAACCAAGAATTAATAAGTTTATAAAACAGCAAGAATAACTATTTAGCACATTTAATTGCTTGTCCTTCACAAATAAATGATTTTCTTTCACTTCGAAATGATAATACTAACTCAATGATTCTTTCCACTCCATAAACTCATGAAAACCAGACTGAAAACAGGAATGCTAGACCATGAGTTACCAGAGAAAATGTTTAAAAAAATCACTCTTCTAAATTGATAGCTTGCACATACAGGTTTTGGCAAAAAATATTTTTAAAAACCACGTAAATAACGCAGGTTGCGGGCAAGTTGGTATTTTAGTCATGCTAAAACTCTGCTTAAATAATCTTAAGATATTAATACCAGATAAACAACAACAAAAATACCCAGCAATGAAGACTTCGTAAAAACCAATAATAAAAAACTAAAGAACGTGGTTTTAGTCGAAAAATGTTACAGGTTTGAGTTATTTTAGTGGCTTTTTAACAAGTAAACAATAGAAAAAACTTAATCAAATATTACGTTATAACTTCCCGAGTTTTGTAAAAAATCTCTTTATGACTGTACAATTCACGGCAGAAAATCATTACTCCCGGAGTCCTAAACAATTCCAAGATAGTAGAGTAGAACAAATGAACGAAAAACTTGGGAAATGTATAATTCAATCATGTCAATACATATTATCAACAAATTTCACAGCAAATCAAACGCAGGGACTACAACCAGCTTACTGAAATACCACATTAACATACAAGCACACTTAGTTTTACCTATTTGTTACTACGATGAACATCCTAGTGAAGTGTCTTCAATGGAAAATTTGAAATTTAATCAGTTACGGAAAATTTTAAACAACTTATTGAAAAATAAGCGCTTGTTTTATTGCGAGCAAGTAAGGATTTTCGAACAATCTCCACATCCATTGGCATTTCGAACCCAAGCATGAAATTTGAAACTTAAATTGCAGTCAAGAAATTCTTTGAAACTAAACAGCCACTAACTTTGGATACAAATCTCGAATATATTAAACACGAATAGTTTAGGTGGTGAGACTATAACTTATGGACGAACCAATCAGACTTACGATAACAGATCTTGAATTCTAGCATTATAGTTGATGTTAGTTTATGATAAAAACCCTAAATCTAATTCCTAACCCTAACTATCAACCGTAAATATTAATCCGAATTCTTCACATTGGTTTACAACCCAGATTTGTCCGTAGTATCTACGCAGACATTATGAAGGTCTTTTAGCATGTCTCAAAGGTCGTCCATGAATTATAATGTCACTGATATTAACCCCTAAAACATTTGTCTAAAACGTTATTACAAAAAGACATTAAGTACCACTCATAGTTACGGCAGAAGTGTGCACAATTTCCAGCCTTCCATAAGTAAACCGAAAGCGCAATACAGAATACTTTGTCTTTTAGAGAGGAAATCACACACAACTTAAATTATTGGATCTATCAGTAATAGAGTTGATTATGTAAATTATCAAAGTACAAAATCCAACAAAAACCCAGAAGCATTCCCTTCTAAGTTGCAGCTAAATCCTAATAATTCCAAACAGAATTCTTTATTATCCATGATGATAAAGAAAAAAGAGAATTGTCATTCATAAATTGTCAAATGAAAGAACAACTGAAAATATTAAGCATTCTCACTTGTGACAATGCGATCAACTGTCGGCAGTTTTGTTTCTGATCGCATCATTAGTGTTGATTAAAATTTTAACTTAGATACTTGAAATTTCTAGTGACAGAGGAAAGGTAAGGATCTAAGTAATAAGCGATAAATGTGCTGAGCTTCGAAGTTATCGCGAAAACAAGAATAACCTTCTACGCTACTGGGTTAAACAAACTAACTCAGAGAGATCACATATACCTATTGCAAAATGTACTGACAAAAATTATGATGTTAAGTCAAGCAAGGTAATAATATGTATAGGATCGATCGAAGCTCCAAAGTGTGTGAGATTCATTTTATGCCCCTTACTCGGCTGAACGGTTTGAAAATTATTCGCACGCCTTACCCCATCTAGTCATGAATGTTATTCAATCGTAAGTGTGATTCATTATTATCCATGATTTTATTTATCTGTAGATAGGTTATAAATTAATTGACTGTGCCAAACATCCGTGTGAATTCAATGGTGAGCAAGTGATGTTATAACATGTTGAATACCAGCACGTCACAGTAGTTAGTGTCAATAGAAACTAACAGAAATGTTGCTCGTAAAATTAGTTTTCTGGTAGTTACTACTGGGAAAGGCTGAAGTTCTTTTTCATCACGGTGTTCTTCATGTCTTTTATACTAACTATGCTACTCTATCCCTATCCTTTTTATTCTTTAGAAGACCTTAGCGGCAACCGCTGATTGAAACTACAGATACATGTTGTAAGTTTCTAGCCTTTCATTCGAAAATTCCGTTTTTAAGTATCCGTCATACAATCTACTACAGCTACTGAGATCTTTTTCTAGTACTCCAAACTTATTATTTCATATAGTACTTGAAGTTGCAGACTGCTAATAAGATTGGACTTACGAATAGGACAACCGGCAGATGTTTCAGGATAAATACTACATACAAACCGTCTTAACAGTGTAACGCAAACCTGGTTGACGAATTTAGAAAACTTATATTTATGGCAAGACTAAACATATTCAGCAATTCCAAACTGGATTAAATGATTCAATTGTCACCGGAATGGACGTACGGAAAGAATATGGGGAATAAGAGAGCAATCAGTGGAACATTTTCTCCTATTTGTATGATTTCCATACTGTCATATTACTTCACCACAGTGACTACATAAACATGAAAGAAAAACCGTCGTTCAAGCACGAATCACACCGAATAAACACACTCCAGTTAATGGCATCTTCGTAGGATTATACAAGCGCCAATAGTTTCAGCATGCACCTTCCTTGACAATTACTCTATCGGACTTGAAAATATCCCCACAAAAAGTTATGAGGAAAGTCACTTGTAATTTACGAACAAGACAAAATCTTTAAGATACCCAGTTCAGTCTCATTCTTTATTGATCTAGCTACTCTGACAACGCAGACCAGCTGAACTTAATAAGTCGATTCTTAAACGTGGGTAAAATAATCTGAAGCTCCTACTTAATGTATCAGAGATCCACCTCTTGATGGTAATCGATTCCAAAAGAATTATATCCTAATACAAGGCTGAATGGGTTCTCAGGTTATCTATTCAGAAATCTCAATTTTATCACCTTAGGTAGCTAACTTTTTGTGTTCCACTATTGAGGCTGTAGTTCCCGGTCGTTCTACAGTCACTAAGTAGCTTGGAGGCTGTTGTAGTAGGTTTACTACCAAGAGGTTACGCAACTGAGGTACTTTCATAGTATGCTGTCTTTTCTCCATGGCATTTATCTATTTACAGCAAATCACCTCACATGACTTATTATACGAGAATAGGAGCTAGTAAGAGGATAGAAGATGAGAACATGAGACAAGGATATTTGAGCAAGTGTCGCAAGAAGACTATTTAGCACCATCTAGCACCATTTTCTAATGCTCTGTTCAGCTATCAGGTGTTTTATCACTTGGCCCTTCATCCCTCCTAAAGTAAAAAGTAACTCGAAAGAGAAACAGATGAAAAATTTGTCCAAACATGAAGAGTTATCCCACTGCCTTTATAAAATATTTATTTGTCAACAGGAACATTAGTTACGAGCGATAAATTTTCAGCTTTACTCAAAAGTTTTGTCTCACAGAGCATACTGGTGATCTAGAAGGAGATAGTGCAGAAATCTTGTTATTAAAAACAGGCATTAAATTGGAATGTAATTTGTGTGAACCTGAAAGTGGGATTATTTCCTCTACTCTTTCAAATATGTGGCTTTCAGTCTGCCACAATGGCCTTTTATGACCTGGTTTGTAACTTTCGATAGATATAGTGTATTCTGAGCAAGACTAATGAAAAATAAAAAACAATGAACTGGAGCCATGAAAAGAATTACGATCTAATTCGGTAGACATCTTTGTCCTTGTCACAATATTATATTTTTAAGCCACTGTAGGCAAACGTATGCACAGATGTCAAGTGGCTACTATGATGGCACTGAGCTCTAGACATTGTAGTTATTGGTTCTGTATTTTATATTGTACTATTAGACAGGAAACTGTAGAAATGTTAATTTTCTGACCTTGTTGCATTTTCTTTGCTTCTGCTCTAGGTATACTGTAAATTAGGTCCCAATGTTGGAAAGGATCCTTAAAGCCGGTGAAATAATCGAGGCACTCTTGACTTACTATTTGGCTAGCTTGACTTCATTATTCCTATAACAGTATGAAGCACACTTTCCCTCAAGCCATCTAGAAACCGGGTTGTTTTCCACCTTCAAGGTGTGTTTGTTAGATCAGTCACAACTAACGCTAATGACCGGTCGGAGTAAGGGAATATAATAGTTGGAATCTCTACAGTGTAAATACGTGGTACAGTATCTGACCGAACAATAATCTGAGTGTGTTGGGAGGGAGTACTTTAGTTCATGAATCTTTTAGTCATATGAGATGTTCTGTGAGTCCTATCTACTCAGATATCAAAAATAAATATAAGTACGTTTACTCAGGACAATTCATTGTCGCCAGAATATACGTAGCTTCTGTGACTTGCATACACCATTTACTAATCATGTGCTTCAAAAATTATAACTGATATCACAAACACAACGACTGTCTATAAAGTCTGTAAATTCGTAATTAAAATAAATTGGTGATGAATACTAACACCAACGGATAACAATATTGATAATAATAATTGTAGCAATGACAATAAAAGATTCTATGGGTCCAATGAATCGTCACCATGGACCTACTCGTATTAGAATCGGGTGGACGAGACAGTGGTAAGAAAAAGTAAATTCAATAGATGACGAAATGCTTTGAAAGACTGGGTAAGCAGCCTTTCCGTATGCGTACTTAGCAGGTCCTTTGTTCATGTGGTGGATGATCATAAAAGAGATACTTCCAGCTTGTTAACTACTGACAACGTTAACATCGATTAAATGGGAGTATGTGCAGCCATGTACCACAAAATACACGGGTGCCTGGTGGTCAAACCTAAGCCCACCTACACTTAGTACATGGATCGTGTCGTTGTTCGAAAGAGATATTTTGAAGACCCCATCATGGAAGATCATAGCAACAATATATAAAAAATGTGGTCGATGCCAATATAATTTTTGAGAGCTTACAATGGCTCCAGAGGTGAACTCTATGAGAGTCAGATGGATAAGTTCCTGCGCTGTACACTTTAATATTCCACAGCTGCAGAGCTCCTTTATAACATACGAAAGTTTGAAAACCATATAAAAGTAGTATAGTCAATCTAAAGTTCCGATTTTTATGACATATTTTGACTGTATGCCAACCGTATCGTGATTAACTAAAGATTACCATGGTCACCTAATATTCGATCAGAAGATATCTGTTCATTTTCAAGATAAAACTGAAAATAAAGAAGCACTGGACACCTCAAGAAATAGCATAACAAAGGTTCAATACGGCCTTCCTTCGGGATAACGACGAACTTAACGAATTCAAAGAAGCTCTTAACCACAAATTCCAAACCTTAAAGGATATGCTCATGGAAATTCACCGCGTGAATTGTCAAACAATATTTGTGCCAGGAAGAGCAAAACACAAAGTCATTATACGTGTCTTTTCATAGTTGTCATTGGGAAAACAAATACAATAATTCCAAAATAATGTGAGTCAATGCAACATTATACTCCACCTCCCTCAGATCTGTTCGTCTACGTTACCATGCATTTTACTTGAGTGGTCAATGTGAAATCCAAACTAAGGTTTGGCTGAAGAATAACTGTCTGGGCAGTTTAGAGACTCAGTATTACCACTTTGAATTCAGAACAAGGTGATTGGGGAAATAACGGTTTTAAATTTCATTATAAATACAAATGTGCATTATTACCTAAACAAATATTACTGCTCAGTAATTCAGCCAATAATTGTTCCCTCAATAATCGATCTAAATTACAATAAATAGACAGAGTGATAAGGATTATAAGAAAACTACCGAACGCACCAAAAAATAAGTGTGCGTTTGTTGCTTTATAACACAAAGTGTCTACGATTCGGGAAAAGTGCTTCAATTCATGATCAAAATGAACGAACTTAATCAACTCAAGCAACACAACCAAAGAGAGAACAAACAATATGGCTGCCGCTAACATTAAGTATCAACTAAAACAACATAAATACAGTTCACGAAGAAACGTGGTAACACAGGGAAGATGAAAGAAAAATGAGAAAACCATAATATGATAAAATATTAACATCTTAAATGGTACCAAAAAGATTGACAAAATGTACAACTAAAGAAACCAACAAGAACAAGTAGCAAATGTATGCATGGAGAGATTTCCACAAACGTGACCTTCATAATGGATCTTACATCGGCCCGCAAATTCCTTTCATACTCAACAAGTAACTTCGAAGCTTTTGGCCGTGGTTCATTATGTAGCACAGTCCACACTAAAAAAACGAGTAGGACTTACGACAGTACGCCTACTCGATCTGCCTTCATCGATATAACAAGCAATTGTTGCGATAAGTCGTTGCACTGGCAAGGTCGTGTGCTTTTGTTAGTTACAGTCAGCAAGGTATTACGACGTCTGTAGTGAGTCTAGTTGAGTACAGGTGAATAAAATTTAGACGTT